GGGATTGAACTCAGATCCTTGTGTTTGCCGTTCAAGCGCTTATCCTCCTGAGCCATCTCCCCAGCCCCTAGTGCATTATTCTGATGCCCAGAATGCCCTTTCTCTCTGTTGAGGAAAGTTTCTATACAAGAGGATGTAGTTTCTGTATGTTCACCTGAAGTGGAGTGATATGTAGGAGAAACTGTCTTTTCCTAACTCTTACTATGAGGCATAATCAAAAAAGTTGGTGAATATTTTTACTTTAAATTTTTTTGTAACAAGCCACTTTGCCTCTGAGAATACCCTACCTTGCTTCAGGCACACTTAACACATCATTCTTGCCATTTTCTGAAGCAGGTTGCCTTAGTGGTCTGAATTGATTCAAAATGTTCACTTTTCATTGTTATTTTAACTTTGGGGGAAGAGCCAGAAGTCATATGGTGCTGGATCCAGTACATAAAGTGGATGAAGACACATTATGATGCACTCATGAGCCTGCCTTGCCTTCAGATGACAGTTGGCAACAGCATTCGCCATATTTCTTTATTACATCTCATAAAGACTCAGTTTTTAAAAACCTCCCACACTGTTTCTTACAGATTTTTGCCTTTCAGATTTGTGTGTGTGTGCATGTGTGTGTGTGAGAGAGAGAACGCGCTACTTTATAGCTACCTTATTAACAGTATTGAGTTTTTTAGTCCACAGAAAATTCATCATGCATAGTAGCATTATATCATTTTTCTGTTAGGTTTTTTTTGGCACATAAAGAGACAGGAAAAATAAGAGGCCTTTGTTGACTCGGAGGATACAGAGACAATCCAAGGAGCCTGGGGGACCCTCTGCCCTGAGACAAAAAAAGATGAGGCTTTGTGGACTTCTGCTGGGGTGCAGTTTGAGGGCAGGTTCCCTGACAGGGAAGGAGCTGACTGGTGGCACCCTGTGTACACAGGAAGGGCATCCAGGACCGGGGTGGGGAAGAAGGAGGAAGTGCTCAGCAGGGTGATAAGCTGTTGTTTGGGGGATTCAGCCACATTGAGTCAGGGCCATGATAATTTTGCAGTTTGTCCTCTGGCTGGAAACTATCATTTTCTTCCTTTGGAAGAGCCATGTAGTAACTTTTAAAAGTTTTCTGTTTTAGTTGTGTGGAAAGAACCTTATAAATTGTTGCCTAATTTTGTCTCATGAAACTTTGACTGTGGCTTCTGTAACCATTATCTTTTATCAAATACTTGCTTAGTCAAGGCTGGCTTCAGACAGCATTGGTCAGTTATCTGTCACTGTTAACAGGAACCTAAGATAATTGACTTATAAGGAGACAAGATCCATTTTGGCTCACAGTTTCAGGGATTTTTACCCATGATCAGTTGGCCCTGTTGCTTTGGGGCTTATGATGAGGCAGTATATTTTTAGCAGGAACACTTGGTAGATCAAATCCTCTCATCTCCTGCATGGGACATGAGCAAGAGGAAGAAGCTAGGGTCCCACTATCTGGTAAAAACATATACCATAATGACTGAGAGACTTCCCAGTAAATCCTGCCCCTTAAAGATTCCACTCCTTCCCAATAGCACCATGGGCTAGAGACCAAACAAACATTTACTACATGGATACTTAACCTAAACCACAGCAGGCAGTTTTGAGAATAATTACCAGTTACTGAACACTAGTCCTTATGCTAGAACTTTTATAATTTCTAATCCTTAAGATAGCTCAATAAAAAATTAATTTTTTAAAATAGCTCAATAATGTAATTGATTTGGGTTCCATTTTACAGACTACTGAAGATCATGTGGCCAGTGAGTGAGACATGAAATTTAAACCCAAGACTTCTTCAAAATTGCTAAGTTTATCTTTTCATTATCGTGATTCCTATGAGTTTGTTTGGTTTTTGGGTTTGGTTTTGGCATTTTCTAGAATAGACTCTAGTTATTGCTCTGATCCTTCTCAAACTGAGGTACGCAGTCTAGAGACCAAAAAAAAAGAAAATATAGAGACGAGCTGACGTACATTGGCTGGTTCATCATCTTGCAGTGTCACTCATACTTGATGATGAGTACCATCCCCACAGAGTAAGCACTGACATATGTAGGGCTTAGCGTATAAAACTCCAAGGCCTATCAAGATAAAACACAAGAGTTTCTTCCCCTAGGCCTCTCTGCTGTTCTTAGGGTTCTCTAGACATGTGAGTTTGGGCTAGTGTGTCCTGGAGGCGCTGAACTGTAGGACTGTATTCATAGTTGCATCTTTTTTACAGCAGAAAGATCAGGATTACTTCTCTTATCCTCATTTTCCATCTTTTACTCTTTTAAGTATAGCTTAAAGTGTCGTCTTCCCATCTTTTTTGGCAGCAAGCAGTGAGAAAGCACTAATACTTTCAAGGTGGTAAATGATGTACAGGCATTTTTATGCTGACATTGCTACTAAAACCATGCAGGTTTTTACCAGGTTAATTTTTCCTCAATTGATTCTTTTCATATGTCTTGGCAATATTGATTTAGATACTATGTTCTAGGCCAGTTGAGAGATAACTTTGTTAACCTTCTGTCCTCTTGGTGACTTTTTTCTCTAATACGAAATTTGTTTCAAAATTGTTTTCCAAGAAACAGCAAAGCTACTAAATAAAGCCTGAGTGAGCTATATAGACTTGCTAGTTAGAAAACATGTACAGTTGTTATTTCTCTTTACTCTCTGACCAGAAACGATTAGGTGAACCTTTATGTTGCACTGTGTCTTTGGTCCCCTTGGGACCATGTCTGTATCAAGTCAGAATTCTCAATTCTGACTAGTTGTCTGTGTAATACTGAATATAAAAGCATGTCAAGATTACTTTCCCAGCTTTTTTTTATGGTTTTGGATAAAATTGATCGGCATGGGGAAAGCTGCATTCTGATCATTTCTAGAAAAGATAATGCATAATATTCAAAGATAAGAATGAAAGCTAAGAAAATAAGAACTGTAAATGGGCTTTATTTCCTTTTGTCCAAGTATTACCAACAAGTATTTATCCTCAATACTCTTTATTGAATTTAGCAAATTTGGTAAAACGGTTTCTAATTTCTTGCCTTTGAGTGCCAACCCAGTACCATAAAGAATTCTCTTTCAAGCTTGGATTGTAAGTCTGGCCAGAAGAGGGCATAGTAAGAGGGAATAATCTTATCAGAAAGTCGTAAAACCCATCAAATCAGACCTTTTATAGAAACCTTCCTTCATATTATGTGAGAAATGTACCTCTTCCAGTTTTGCTTTCACCTCTCTGGAACTTCTCTGCATTATCCTTACCAGAAGGAGGCTTTTCCCTTGAGCTTCCATTTTGTGTTCTTGTGTTTCTCCGGTTGGTTTCCCGTCTCGTTCTTACAATCTGGTCTACCCACTGTGATGGCTTTGCATTCCTTGCATGCTGTAAATATTATGTAATTTTTTGAATAAGAGCAATGTCATGCTGCAGATGTGTGTCATTTTAGATCCAGGGAGAAAGCAGATATATAATATTTTTTTTCTATTTGTTTTCACGCTTTTTCCAGTTGTTTGAATTCTTGGCTGACCTGACCTTTGTGTAATTAATTATATAGTTTTTATCTCATGTCTTAAACCATTTAGTAATCTTCAGGAACCAGTGCCTGAAAGTGTCGGCTCTGTGATGTAGAATGTTCTGTAGTTTAGTGCAGAGAGTGCTTTTTATCAAGCACCTGCTGGGGTTATTTTCTGTCATAGAGAAAACAGTTTGGTCATAGGCCTATTTTTTAATATAGGTTGAATGTTAGATATTTGCAGCACCGTTTCATATATTATCAGTTCATAAAGAAGACAAATTCCAAATCCTGAAAATGCATCACAGTTTTGTTTTTTGTTTTTTTTTTTTTTCTTTTTTGTGGAACCAGGGATTGAACTCAGGTCCTTGAGCTTGCCAGGGAAACGCTTATTCTACTGAGCCATTTCCCCGGCCCAACAGTTTTGTTTTTTAACACAATCACAACACAGCGATCACTAAATTTATACCAGGAAATGAAAGACAATCAAAAGGTTTTCGTCTTTCAGTCTATTTTTATTGCACACAAGGCATTTCATGAGTGAAACAGGCATTGTAGATAAACAGAACTAGGGAGGAAGCACATGTGAAACTAGCAGAGGGGAGGTTCGCTTTCAAAACACTGCCATCCATTTTATAATCGGATACCATGTGTGTTTTACCTTGCTTGCATACCAGCTGTTTTAGCTTCAGCTTTCAACTTCAGTTCTTTAATATTTTTGTCACAGAAGACTGACTTCAGGGTGAATTATGTATCAGAGCCCTATGAAAGTATTTTCCTGTCAGCTAGCCAATTCAGTTAGTCTAATTCTGTAATGCTAAGTATCTTTTTAAATGGGCTACTCCAAATACATCATAGCATTTCCTCCTTAGACTGCCAAGCAGACCTGAAGCATTGTATGCCTCCACCTTCCTTCCCACATAGGATAGATTTCTGTCCCAACTATTTTCTTTTACCAACAATCTAAACTTCAAAAATCACTTATTCCACCTGTAATCTCAAAGCTTGAAATTGCAGTTCAAAGATGATTTGGTTCTAACCATCTCATTAAGATAGCAGGTTTTATAGATCAAAGCATAGTTTAGTCTTTCTTTTCTTTTATTTCCCCCTTAAATTTCTTTGTAAATAAAAAATATTCAAAACATTGCTGCTTGGGAGTAGAGCTTCTTAGTATATGCAAGTTCTTTAACTCTTGTTTGGATTTGTGCTCAGATGTCCTGCTGTAAAGATTGGATCTGAAACATCCTTGAGATGTCCCAGCTCCATCTTCTTTTCAAGTTTTCTCAGTACTCCCACACCCCGTCACTACCACCATGTAGTTCCCCCAGGTCGTATTTCTTTGCAATCTGGAATTTCCTTAGGCTTTGGGAGACACATTGAATGGCATATATTTCCAGCAACTTGGTAGAGCAATTTACAGATTCTGTATGGGCATCTAGTACTTAGCTAAATGAACTCTACCTCTCTCTCCTCTCTCTGCTTTCTCTCTTTCAGCTTGGCAGTGACCTTGGCGGGGGCATTGGAGGAAGTCCGGCAGTAAGTGCCATCTGTTTTTTTCACCATGGGAAGTGCTGCCCCCTTGTTTGATGCCTTTCCTTTGCAAGCACTGTCAAACCAGCTGCTGCTGCTGTCTAGCACTACACACCCAGATCTCTATAGCAGTATATATTGCCACCAAAATCTGTAGCAGTGTGTGAGAAGTAGAAAGTAGAATAGGGTTACTTAGAGTCTTTGGAATCATGTACCACCTGTGGTCAGGCAACATCATTAGGGATTGATGCTCTGGTGCCTATATAGATCATTGTTTCTGACAGTAAAGAGCTAAAAGAAACTGACCCACCCATCTTGCCTAGAGAATGTTCTTATCCTCTGATGTCATCCAGAAAGAACTTGAGAGAATCAGCTGGACTCTGTGAGGCTCTCCTCACAGATGAGTGAGTCTGGGAATGTGAATATCATCTCCCTCAGGAGAGCAGCCCCCCAGGTATTTATGCCTAAATGGGAAAGTCAGACTTGGCTGAATCCAGCTGCAAGTGAGACTGCTGTTTATGTTGGATGCTTCTCCATCTTTCTATAGATACAAACACCCCCTTGTTTAGGGTACGAGTAGCCTTTTGCACAGAATCATGGAAGCTAAAATTGGAAACAGACAGACCAAATCTTGGATCACTGTATTTCTGTGTCTACTGAGTACTCTGTCCTGATAAAGCTTCTGAAGAGTATATGTTTATCTTGTCAGTGATGGAAAAAATAAAAATAAAATAAATAACTGTGATTAAAAGTACAAAGAGTTAAAAAGAAGATATTACCAGTTTGGCTTGTAAGAAAATTATAATTGTGGTTTTCTTACTGGTTTATCAGTACTCTAAAGTAAATAGCAGCATTTTAAGGGCTATTAATCTGTTCTTCCTGATCTCTCTCCTTTTTTTTTCCCTGCAGGTTGGACAGTCCTTCATCCCATCATCAGTGCCTGCAACATTTGCTCCCTCACCAACGCCTGCAGTAGTCAGCAGTGGCCTAAATGACCTGTTTGAACTCTCCACTGGGATAGGCATGGCTCCTGGTGGATACGTGGCTCCTAAGGCTGTAAGTACAGTTAGCATAGCAATACTTTTTTAATGGACAAAAGCCAAATTCTAACATTTGGCTTGCCTCCAGAACTAAGAAAGCTAAGATTTTGCCCTGGTTCTGAGGGATTTACAAGGAAGATAAATACAGCTTCACACTGATAGGAAGTACCATTGACATCCTCAGTAAACATTTCTATAGTTTATCAATACTGAAGTGAATCTAGTGAATCTAGTGAAGGCCTGTTACATGCTGCATCAACAAGAATCTAGTGAAGGCCTTTTACATGCTGCATCAACAAGAGAAAGAAAATAATTTTTTTCATTCCTTCCTCCTCTTCTGTATGATCTAGAGTGCCTTGGCTCAGATTTGATTTTCATGTGCCACTGTAGAGTACTGGTTTGGATTTGTTTCACTGTGGCTCTTGCAGTCTCAACCTTGCTTGATGTCTGTCACACTAAAATTCAAAACAGGAACCTCCTTGTAAGTGAAGCTCTTCTTAACCTCTTGGGAAAGATACTAGCCAGGGCAGGGTAGACTTTGTGTAATTTTGCCTTTCTGAGAATTAACATGCCTGTTTGCTTCCTGATTTTTCTGCCTACTTATCTGGTTCTTTATGGAGAATCTTTGTTAAAGACATGTAGACCACTTGTCCCTTCCAGGATTTCTAACTGTGTGTATACAACCGTTGCATAGAAAGCCAAAAAGATGACTCAAATCAGAGCCATGGGGTTTCTGGCACAACTTAGTACTATAGTTTTGTTGCAGTATCTACTATTTTGGAATTTAGGCCCACAGAGTTTATTAATTGAAAAATTATTTGATGTACTCCTTTACCTAAAATACCCTGTTTAATATACAAATATAAGGCAGAAAATTTCCTCTTGCTCCTATTTCTCCACATATAGCCATTGTTAATTTTCTTACGGGTCCTTTCAAAAGAAAAAGACAAAGATCATACATGTAGTCAAATATATGTATCCTTTAAAAATACTGTCATTTTTCATTTTTAAACATTTATTAGTACATGTTTGCAGTACATTACAATTACATTCATTTTGGGAGTTAGTATATGTACATAGCACAGCTTAATTCTTTTTCTTTCTGTTCCCTTCCCTCTCACTCCCTCCACCTCTTGTCCCCTCATCAGCAAGAGATCTGTCTCCGTTTTGAATTATCTTCTTTTATTTTGTTCTATAAGTTATTTATATTTTGCAGTATACTCTTTTGTGCGTTGTTCTTTCATTATCATATTCTTCTTTTTCTACTTTTTTTTCCTTGTATTTTAGGGAAGGGTCTATCTACAGGGTGTTCAGGGTCTCACTACTAGATCGGACTCATAGTGATCCTCCTGTTTACAGCCTCCCAAGCACACCACCGTACCCAGTCTCAGTGGCTGTCTCAGCACGCCCTGGGGGCAGAGCCGGCACAGCAGGCCCGGGGATTGAACCCTGGCCACTGTGCCTGCTTGCAGGCACTTTAATCTGCTAAACTATTTGGCTGTCCCCAAAGGTTCCTTTTTCTTTTTCTTTTTTTTTTTTTTTTTTTTTTTTTTTTTTTTTATGGTACCAGGGATTGAACTCAAGACCTTAAGCTTGCCAGGCAAGCACTTATTCCACTGAGCTATCTCCTCAACCCTTCTTTTTCTGTGTTGTGTTGTATTTTATTTTGTTTTCCCCCAAACTAGAAATTGAGTCCAGGGCCTTCACACTGAGCAACATCCCTAATCCCTTTTTTATTTTGAAGTAGAGATGTTACTGAGTTACCCAGGCTTGTCTTGAACTTGTGATGCTCCCTTCTCAGCCTCTGAGAGTTCTGGGGTTACTGTGCCTGGCCACGTTCTTTTGAGAGGCTTTATTAGATACAGCCACTGCACCCTCTTTTTGTTGTTACAGTGTTGTAGCAAACATCATTCAACATTTTAAATAGACATACCAACTTGTACTCCAAAGAGGTAGCATCCAGTTACTTTTCAGCAAAATAACAAGAGCTGGGCCGGGGAGATGGCTCAGTAGAATAAGTGCTTGCCTGGCAAGCACAAGGGTCTGAGTTCAATCCCCGGTTCCGCAAAAAAAAAAAAAAAATAACAAGAGCATCAAGTTCCTTCTGTTCTCTTCTATTGGGTATGACTGATTTGTTGTTTTGGTTTTTTGTTTTGTTTTTGTTTTTTTGTGGGGGTGGTATTGAGAATTAAACTCAGGGAGCAGTTAGCTTCACCCTGTTTTAGTATTTCAAATAGGATCTCACTGTGTAGCTCAGACTGGTCTTGAATAAGTAATGGATATTGTACCACCCATGGCTGACTCTAAGGTTTTTTGACTAAGTGATAAATGAAACATAGTATCTTCACCAGAAGAGACCTAGAATAGCAAAGACAATCTTGGGCAGCAAAGGCAAGGCAGGGGGTATCACAGTCTCTGACTTGAAATTATGCTACAGAGCTACTGTGATAAAAACAGTGTAGTACTGGCACACACACACACACACACACACACACACACAACAGTGCTGAGAATTGATTGGATAGATTAGAAGATGCACAAACAACTCCAGACATACTCAATCACATTATCTTTGAAAAGGAGCAAAATACCTTCACTGGAAAAAAGACAGCCTGTTTAATAAATGGTAGTGCAAAAACTGGCCTTCCACATCCAAAGATTAAAACCAGACCCATATCTTTCACCATGTACTAAACTAAAATCAAAATGGGTCCAAGATCTCAATATTAAAACAAAACAGAAACTAAATTTACTGGAAGATATACTAGGTAGAACTCTTGAAGATATATGGTATAGGCAAAGACTTTATGAACAAAACTCAAGTCACATGAAAAATACTACAAAGAATTGATAACTAGGATCTCATTTATTGAAAAGCTTTTGTATAGCAAGAGCAACCACCAAGAGAAGAGACAACCCATACTGTGGGGAAAAAAAATTTGCCAGCTGTTTCTCAAAGAACTGCTATATGTAGAACATATAAAGCACTCAAATTATCAGACCCCTCAAATTTAAAGACCCAATCCAAAATTGGGCATCTGATATAAATACACACTTCTCAAATGAAGTAGAAACAGCAAATAAATATATGAAAAAATCTTCACCATTATTGGTCACTCAAGAGATACAGGGCTAGGGAGATAACTCAGTGATCTAAGTGCCTGCCTGGCAAGCACAAGGTCCTGAGTTCGTTCCCCACTATCACTAAAAAAAAAAAAAAAAAAAAATTAAAACACTGCTGAGATCCCATCTCACTCCAGAAAGAAGGGCTACTATCAAGAAATCAACCAATAACAAATACTGTTGTGGCAGTGGTAAAAAGGACCCTTCATTACATGTGGTCCCACCAGTGTGGAAATCAATGGGATGATTACTCAAAAAACTAAATCTAGATGTTCCATTTAACCCAGCTGTTCCCTTCCTTGATATCATCCCAAAAGAATATCATCATACCACAGCAATACATGCACACCCGTGTTTATAGCAGCAGTTTGTAATAGCTAAGTCTTGGAAACAGCCCAAGTGCCCATCAACCAATGAACAGATGATGAAGATATGGTTTTTATACAATGGAATACTATTCAGCCATAAAGGACGGTAAACTTGAGACATTTCTAGCTAAATGGACGTACCTTGAGACCATACTCTTAAGTAAAATAAATTAGCCAAATGTTTAAATACTGTATTGTTTCTCTGGTATGAGAAAATGAAAGTGTAAACAAGGACCAAAATGTAACAGATACTGTAAAATAGGAAAAAAAAAATTGAAGTGGAAAGGAAACTGAGGGGCAAGGGAAAAGAAAAAAAATAGAAGGGAAAAACAGAAGCAAAGCTTTTATGAATGAGGAAGGGTTGCGGGGGAGGTAGAAGAATGGAGAAATCATAGAATTAAGATGTCTCATGTGCAGGTTCCAGTTCCCTATGATAGATGTCGTCATTGTGTGTACATACAAGGTACCAATGACCTTAAAGAAAATTAGTATCTTTTGAATATTTACTTCCTGCTCTTTTTCCTCTTCCTCCTCCTTTTTAGTATGGCTGTATAATCATCATCATTATTTACCATCCTCAGACTCCTTAATGTACAGCTCATAGGTTTTTTTTTGTTTTGTTTTGTTTTGTTTTGTTTTGTAATTTTTAAAGTTTTTTTTGTTTGTTTTTACTACTATAAGCCAGGAATATCACAAGTTCTGTAGCTAGAGGTGAGATTACTGAAGCAACACTGAAGTATTTATTATTTACCATAACGATAGCAAAAGTTACAAATGGATGAGAGATTGCTAGTAATGATAAGTCTCCAAAGATTATAGGCGTGGTATTTTCATTAGTAGATTCAGTTTTTTTTCCTTTTTAAACATTTACCAAAACTCATAGAAAAACATGTTGAACTTACTAGAATTTCTCTTTTATGTATATATGTATTTGGTAGGCTGGATTGTATTCAAAGCATTAAAATGACCCAGTTAAATAAAAGAAAAAAGACCATGGTTTACCCATAAGCTATTCTGTTTTATTTTAGTTTGGTTTTGGTTCTTAAATAATTGAGAATGGTGTTACAATTCAGAAAATACTACTTTATCCCAAGCCTTTCACATTGGTTTGATACTTATAGTATAAAATCACAGTTGCCTGAGGAAGTGAAATCTGAATCTCATATTTATTTATTTATTTATTTATTTATTTATTTATTTATTTATTTATTTTTAAAGAAATCGTATCAAGATAAATCTTGTCGGGTTCCTTTGAGCTCTATGCTGTGTTTCAGGTCTGGCTACCGGCAGTAAAGGCTAAAGGCTTGGAGATTTCAGGAACATTTACTCACCGCCAAGGGCATATCTATATGGAAATGAACTTCACCAA